TCAATTGGCAACCACACTGGCATAATTTTGGTACCGAGTCTATATGTACAGATTTGTTAGAGTCTTTGGGGGTTGAGGATCATCTCTTGCATACGTTTTAGTGCCAAAGTTTTAATGTCTGGATGTTGTAAATGTTTGCTGTTTTGATTTTAAATATCTTATACTGTTTTTTAAAATAGTTTTCTACAGCTTTGTAACCCATGCTGAAATCCTGTGATATATGGCAGGCTATATATGTTTAAATAAATAAATAAACGATGTTGATGGCAATACTTAAAACAAAAGCAACACAGAACTATTAAACTAACCTTGCATAGGAAATTTGTAAGGACCGCAAAAATAACCAGTGCTCAACATTTCTATCCCCTGATGTTGCATGCACTCTCCCACTCTCCATTGAGGTGCTAGAAGAAATCCCTGACAGGGCAAAATGTCAACAATTGCTTGGATTAAAACAGAACAAAAACAAAACAAAAAGCAAAACAGGTGGCTTGCATGAACAACCGCCTACTTGTACAGTGTGAATCAAAGAGAATTCTGACCAACTAAAAGTATTTTTAAAAGGAGAAAATAAACTGGGAAGCAAAATATGGACGAGATAATGCACTGAGGGCAGAAATAAATGTCATTACATGTCACTGAAATTGAAGACACATTCATTGCTATGGCATATTCGCAAAATCAGATATCAAAAGAATCAATGCTAAGTCACAAGTCACGGATCACAAAACAAAGCAAGCTAATTTGCAATTTTCTGGGAGTGAGAAAAGTTCTTGCTTTGACATTCACACCTACTCAGCCCTTATAAAGTTTCATCTTTTAATGCCAGATCCTAAGTAAAGAATTTGATCAAACTTTGGGAGGCAGTGGAAGACAGGAGGACCTGGCCTGCTTTGGTCCATGGGGTCAAGAGTCAGACACAACTTAATGACTAAACAACAACAACAACAACAAGTAAATTGTATGCAATTCAAATGGAGATTTTCAAGCTCACCAGTTCTTTTACACAACACTTGAAATGCAAATACACCAATTTGCATTAGAATTGCAGGAAATGAATCACCAGTCTGTGCAAAAGTGAGCAAGAGCCTTTCCTCCAAATACCAACTGCAGCACAGGAGGAGACCACCACAAGGAGATTTTTCATCAGGAAATACATATTTGAAGGATTAGGTCTCCCTTCCTTATGTGCCAGCTGGCTGGAGAGCTCAGTGAATTTTGTATCTGTCAGAGCCAGAGGTTGGGAGTTTGATTCCCCAATGTGCCTCCTGTGAATAGAGTTAGCCTGTACGGCCTTGGGCAAGCTGCACAGTCCCAAGGTAACCCCAGAAGTGAATGGTAAACCACTCTTGAGTACTCTTTACCTAGAAAAACCTGGAAACAGTCACATTATTTTAGAATTGACTTGACGGCACATCATTATCATAATATTTATGTATCACACCACTCATGAAAAGGTGCAGGCTAATATTAAAGTTCAAAATTCAAAGCACAGAATTAGAATAATGCCTTCTTTGATTTTCCCTTATTCACACTGTATTTTTAATATTCACACTGTATTTTTAATATTGTAAGAACAGCTAGAGAGGCACTCTAATCAAGAATTCCCCCTGAAACTTTGGCAGTTCTTGGATAGATAGCCCAAAACCTGTCCGACAGATCATGCATCTAAGCTAAGTTTTTCATATATGAGACCTCTTGATTCTGACTGTTTATAGTGCCCCTGGAAAGCCCAGATTGGTAGAACAAAGCAGCATTCTACACTACCTTTTGTAATAAAAAGTACCTAAAGATTCCTTTAGAACAAAGGATGGTAGATACATCGAATCCTTGTGAATTCTGATGCAAATCCATCCGATTTACTTATCTCACACTAATGTGAACATTCAAATGTAATTATGCCTTAGATGTTGCATTCCTTCAAATTTCAGTGTAGTTCTCAGAAATACAAAATAAGTGCTCTAAAATGCATATTTTAAATGCATGTTAAAATGTATCTAATGCATTAAACATATATATCAAGATAAATATATTTACAAATGCATGCTTTGGGAGAGCAGCTCACCCTGCTTTTGACCCATACTTACTCATAATTGTTTCTCCAGGGAAATAGCCACCAAAGGCCATAGTTTAATTTATCCTGGATTTCAACTGCTCATAATCTTTTACACAATTTCAAGTGGTCTTTTTACAAAGAACAGATCTATTAATGACTGCCTCAGTATATTATCAAGATGAACCATTCTTTCCCTCAAACACAAGAGAAGGAGGAGGGATTATTTGTTTCTATGTAATATGGTTTCCAAAAACAACTAAATAACTTTAGAAATACTGTTATGAACACCAGCTTAAAGAATAGAGCAGGGCACAAGAGAAGTTAAACCTACATTGGATTACTACAGTGTTACATGGTACTCAATTTTATTTACAATATTTTATTTATTTACAATATTTTTTAGCTGCACCATTACCAGTGGCTTCTGGGCGGCTAAAATTTTTTATCCAGGTGTATGATTTTAAATCATACACCTGGATAAAAATGCAGTAAATATGATAACTACAATAGTTAATGATGTATGTACTTACCCTTATTCAAGCAAAACAGAAATTGAGTCATATTTGTTCTATTTGTTTACATTCTAGCTCAGTGGTTCTTAACCTTTGTTACTCGGATGTTTTTGAACTGCAACTCCCAGAAACCCCAGCCAGCACAGTTGGTGGTGAAGGCTTCTGGGAGTTGCAGTCCAAAACTCCCGAGTAACCCAAGGTTAAGAACCAGTGTTCTAGCTCACATTAATTTGAGGTACAATCTATAAAGTTAAATAAAACACCTCAAACTCTCTTTTTTATGTTTGGAAAAATGTTTCAATATATTTTGCTTCACATCCTTGCGATAAATCAAAGGAAAGAAAAGTAAGAAACCTTATAAAAGGCACCCTGGCCTGAGATTTGAGCTTAAACATGAGCACTCTGATTTTCACACCTACATCTCCCAGAATTCCCCAGCCTTGTCTAGGGGATTCTGAGATTTCCATTCTGAAAAAGCAGCTTTTCCAAGTCCTGCACTCTCTCAGACTCAGCTCCATAACCTCTTTCACTGAAACTAAGATTTGTGCCTGTCCTGTCCAAACACAAAAGCTTACCCTTCTTTGTCACTGATATCTACGTGCATGTCATCTTGCCATTAATAATCTACTAGCTGCTGGTTGACAAGTTGTTACATTTAGCTCTTCAGTACCACCATTACGTCAAAGTAATAACCGATGCGTTGTTCCTGCCTGGATGTACTTCCTATCACTCATATGCCATAGATATATTTTACAGCACACTATGAATCATAAGTAAGGAATGCTTGCTTGATAGCCACAGTAAGCCTGCAGTCCATAGTGACTGTTTTCATTTGCATTCCCCAGATTAAAAAGTTTTATACATGCATCCTGCTTACTCTGATAATGGTGCAATAATAAAAACACAAATTTGGCTCTTTTATGTGATTTTTAAAACTTCACTTCATCTTCATGCATTATCTGATATGCATTTATTCAATTCATTCCAAAGTTCACCAATGTTCTATGCATGGTTCTTATTTTCATCAGTATCAGGTGCAGCTGTTATTTATATGTATAAATCCTACAGAAGCTGTCATATTTTAAGCAGCAAAATACAAATATTACAAAAAAGTATGTCTTCCCATAACTGAAGAATGAGGATCACTGAAAACCCACCCAAGTTCTTTAAATCTAAAAATATGTCCCATGGGCTTAACTTGTGTGTTTCACATCATCCTAATTATATCAGGAACATTATTCTGGCAAATGAAGTCAAGTACACATTCCTAAACCTGTAATCCATTAATAGAATCATTGCCTTTTTAAAAGGTGTTTCCCTTTAGGTAATGATCATTCACTGACAGCTTCCTGTTTGGGAACTTCGCAGTGGAAACTGCAAAGCTGCTATCGTTTCTTATGCGTCAAATGTGTTTCCCACGCTGGTTTTTTTTCCTGACTTCGAACTCTCATGGTGTGAAATATGCTGATAGTGCCAGTTCAGAAGATGAATGGATGAGGCGACAATAGGCAGATGGGCACATTTCAAACAATTTAAGATCTTGTGGCTACATTTCACTCCACCACTGCAAAGATTAAAGTAATGGGAAACAGACAGAAGCACATCAAATGTAACCCTTCTGATGATGGAAGGCAACCCTTACATTATCACACAGTGTCTGTCTTGTGAGCAATGGAAAGAATTACTGGTTAGCTATCTGCCAAAAGAACTTTACCCCACACAGAAAACCTGTAACAGACAGGGAAGTTAAGCATTATCATTTGAAGTACAAAAGACTGATAATATACAGATGGTGGTCAAATGCATGTCACAAGGAGCAATAGACTCGGTGAATGTCACAGCTCCCCAATTATATATATGTCTGTCAACACTGCAAGTTGTCAGTGATGTAAAAAGACATTTCTAGGGGCAGCCATGTTAGTCTACTGTTGCAAAACCTACTGTCTTGGAGATTAACTATTTTTATTTGGCATGAGCTTCTGTGAGTGCAGCCCACGTCATTAGATGCTATAGGCTGGAGTCCACTGAAATGTAGCCCAAATGACATCATTAAGATGATACAGGACTTGTACTGATTTTGTTGCAACAAGCTAAAGCACTAAGCCTCACTTAAATTTCTGCACAGGGGGAAGCATGTAGAGCCATTTACTGTGGAAATCCATCAACTAGCATCTTAGGAAGTGGAATGAAGTCACAAAGCTTAAGCCAGTTAACATCTATTAGCCAAACATTTTGCTGCTCTTTTTTGGAAGAAGACATTAAGAGCCATTTTTTAAGAAAGTAAAAGATCCAGTGACCCCCACTTTAAGAAAGTAAAAGATCCAGTGACCCCCTCCTACCAAAAAACAAAACAAAAAACCCACCAGGGCCCAAATCAAGCAAAAACAAAACAAAACAAAAAAACCCACCAGGGCCCAAATCAAGTGCCTTACCTTTGTGTTTGTACAAGCTTTTCCGCGCTTATATTCCTTATGGCTTGCTCTTTTGTCTAGCTTGTTCCACAAAGCTTTGGCCTTCCAACTGGTCACCTTTGATTTGAGTTTTGTATAAAAGTTCCTGTTGTCCAAAGGATCTAGTTCAAGCTGGCGAGTGAGGATATTAAAGGCCTGAATTGTACCTTTACATGTAGAGGCTTGGACAAAGTTTTCGAACATTTGGCCTCCTTGGTTATATTTTTCATTCTCTTTTTCCCCCATGTTCCAAGAAGAGAGTGCGGGGTATCCTAATGGCATGCTCCTGGGCTGAAGTTCATCTAAAGAATGCTATCAAGTTCTCCCAAGCACACAGTATCTGGGAAGAGACAGAAATAGGTCAAGTTAGTGCCATCTCAGGACAAGATTTGAATCCTCATAAACTACAAGTTAAGAAGCCAGTTGGATAAAATGGAGAACACAGAAGAATAACTTCCAGAACGAGATGAACACAACAGACGACTGTCAGGACAACCTTACAACTTCACTACAGAAAGTGTACATCCCACAAATTGTATTCTACAAAAGAGAAACCACCCACCCCCCAAATTATTCTCCAACAGATGCATATTAACAACTGTACGCTCAGCTTCAATAGAGTGGATAAATTATCCAATTTCCCCCACATCCTCCTTTTGCTAATGTTTTTAGGACATGGCTTTCAAAATATTTGACTTAAAAAAACCTGAATCCATTGCAAGTTCTATCACATTTTTCAATATTTTTCTTCCCATAATGGCTGCTATCACAATGGCTAGATTTCTGTCGCCCATTTATGTTTGCATAAGGAAAATCACATAAATCTTAGTGGGAAATGGTCTGTCATCCATCAGGTGCTGGTTTTATTCCCGGGCATGGGATGCACGCCTAGGAACACAACTGCCACCTCATTAATGAGCAACAATTTGCCACCAAAATATACACAGTTTCCCTTAAACAAGCCTGACAATAAGATTTTGGCTAGTAACCTTTAAATGAAGAAAGATGGCATTCTCAACATTCTGTCTGTCACCCAAATGTAATCTATGGACAATATGCTAACAAATTCTGTCTTATGTATTTATTTCACTTAACATATAGGAAAAGCACAAACTACTAAGTAGTGTTCCTTTCCCTCAGCTGTTTTCACAAAAAGAAGAGCAGACCTAGAGGCTACAACAGACAGCAAGAAGAATGCCAAATGAGGGGCTCCTTCTCTTTCTCCATCACCACCACTTGTCTATTCAAGCTGCCTTCCCACAAAACCAGTGATCCCACCACGCCCGAGGAAGCCATGCCATTGCCAAGGCATCTCAAAAACCAGCAGACAGATGGCAAGAATAATCTTTACATCCCTCCTTCACAAAGGTACAATTGGATATGTTTATCTTTTCCTTCCCATTCAGCAATTCCATGTGAGCAGTAGGGTTACAATTTAACAATTTTTTGGAATATTGTGTAAGTAAGGACAAAGTCCAGTCCAATTATTTACTCATGGCTTGCATCTTTTTTTTCTCCGCAGCGTGTAAAAGATGAAGAACAAACATGTTGGATTAAGTGGGTGTTTGGTCTAATTCAGCAGGATTCCTATTATTTTCTTATTATAAGTAAGAACCTACACACCTTGAGAATATTAAGGCAGCTTGAAAATCACCGCTACAAGAGACAAGTTAACTTATGGTCAGGCATTAGAATAACAAAAAGAGTCCTCCCACACAAACTTTACTTGTATTTATTGGCATGAAAAATCTATTCATACAAGAGCATCGACACTCAGCCCCACTAGTATCACAGGAAATTCATATTTTAAATATTTATGGGATGCTGAAAGTCAAGCTGGAATCTCAGGGAAGAATTTTATCAACCTTGCTAGGGGTTCTGAAATCTGCTTGTTCATACTAAGCATAATTAATGTTAACTCTATTTTCATTTTGGACAATGGTAAAATACTGTCCAGAATGAATAATTATTTCTTCCTCCTGGCTGCATGGGAGACTGTGGGTAAAAAGGGAATGAATGAGCTGAGAAGAGGCTAGTTTCAACTAAAGGTTACTAAACTAGGAGTGAAGGACCTCCATGGGGCAAAGGACAATTTTTCATACTTTCCGACAACCCTAGGGAAGGAGTTCAACCAAAAAGGTTAATTTGCTTTGAGAGAGAGGTGTGGGTTGTTTTTTTTTGGAGGGGGGGAATGAATTTTGGTTTTAATGGAGCAGTTATATACTATAAAGAATGCAAAACCAGGCTTCTATTAAAAGATTTTAACAAAAATTAAAAATGGGGTGTTAACTGAAAAAGCTTCCTCATACCCTCCCAGTGGCAATTGTTTTTGATTTTTTAAAATGGGACTATTGAGCTCCCCAGAGGGCTGGGTAAAATATGGCACCTTCAGAGCCCATGTCTCCCTATATAGCTCAAAGGGACTTTGCGCAAAACCCTTTCCCCCAAAACAAATAAATGAAAAATTTGGACTGTGTGGAAAAGTGCCCCTGGGGGCTGCCTTATAATTGCCCACCCCTGAACTAAACCACTTTATTGTGACATTCAAAAAGCAAAGTGTGATGCTTATATACCGCCCCACAGAGCTTAAAGCACTCTCTGGGTGGTTTACCAGTTAATTATACAGGGTACACATTGCCTTCCCCCCCCCACACCGAGCTGGGTCCTAATTTTATTGACCTCGGAAGGATAGAAGGCTGAGTCATCCTTGAGCCAGCTACCTGGGACTGAGCACAGTTTTGGGTGCAGTTCAGCAGTTTAACCACTGTGCCACAAGGCTCTTATTTGTGCCACGAGGCTCTTCAAACACCACCATTGTCTGCCAGGATGCCCTAATGCATGCCAAGAAAGTGTGAAGTGTGCCCTATAAAATTATACCTTCGGCAATCCAATGGCAGCAATTGCATTTTTTTGCGCTGTGGAGTGATGGATCAATGAACCGTAACATCACTCTTGACTAAGGAAGCAAAGATATGCCTCAGTATCTCAGCATATATCATAGCCAACAGACTGAATCCCCATGAGTGCCTAGTATTGCCAATTTCTTACAGGAGCAGGCCCTGTGGTATCCATGTTTGCAAGGAATATTATGTCTTCCAGTTTGGGAAACATTACACATGTAAGCTTTTCTCTGAGTACAGAACAGGAGAAGGCTAGAGAGCGTTTGGAGGCGGAACCTGAGGGAAAATAACTTAAAATCTGCCAAGGTCGTCACTAACCTCTATCTTGCTAAGGTAGAGGCTGCTAGGAAAGCCTACTTCACTGTCCAGATATGCGAAGCATCCAATCAGCAGACGGAACTTTTCCGTATAGTACGCGACCTATCCGAAATTGGCCACAACGACTGGCCTCCATCTAGCATTTCTTGTGACCAATTTGCAGCATTTTAAAAATCAAAAGTGGAGGCCATCCACTTTTGCACCCTATTTGAAAACAGTGGATTGAACTAAGACATCCAGCACAGCGCCTTGTCCATTGAGAATTACTCAGTTTCAACCTGTGATGTCCGCAGAGGTGGACAAGGCCCTTGATCCCTTTTGAGCCACCACCTCCTCCCTTGACCATTGTCTGGCCTGGCTAATCAAAGCAAAACCACTATGCCCTCAAGCCAGAGATCTAGAAAACAAAGAGCTAGCCCTAACACATTTTTGTAGAACATTATCCTCCAGTGCGTATTACATAATATTCTCTATTAAAGAGGGTTTTTTTTATTATTAAAGAGCTCATGTTTGTTTGTATGCTGCCTTTATCACCACAGGGGAACCAAAGTGGCTCACAACAATTAAAAGCACACAATGAAAGGTTTAAAACAGTGGTTCTTAACCTTTGTTACTCAGATGTTTTTGAACTGCAACTCCCAGAAACCCCAGCCAGCACAGTTGGTGGTGAAGGCTTCTGGGAGTTGCAGTCCAAAACTCCTGAGTAACCCAAGGTTAAGAAGCAGTGGTTTAAAATACTGTACAAACCTATATGCATACTTTAATTATTAGGCTGGTTCTTGTGAGGAAATTGAGGGAAACTGGAAATTGTACTCATACAAAGATGGGGTTTGTTAGGTCCTGTATAAGAATTTAAAAGCAATGGAATGTTCTCAGGAGACTGTTGTGCAGGGTTGCTTTGCCTGGTACACGAAGATAAGGAGCAAGAACAAAGAGGCCCAGGGGAAGACGCAACACCATACTACTATAATTGGGAGAAAGATAAGCCGCCTGGTTTGGAATCTTCTCATGTGAAATCTGGGAGGTGAACTGTGTTACACCCACTTGGACTTCATTGGTTCACACCTTGGAAAGTGTCATCAGGGGGATGGTCCAAAAGCATGTAGGAAAATGGTTGTTCATGTATGTGAAGAGTTCGTTCATTTCGGGGTGGGGGGGGGATGCTGTGAGAGAAGAGAGGTTTGCTTTTTGAAGAAGAAGAGGGGGGAGAAACAGCCCAGCTTCTAGGTGCGAATATGTAGTTAGAACAAAGATGATTACTTAGCATAGACTTAGTTGTTCTTATTTTATTTAGAAATAGCAGATTTATTTAATCATTGTAGTAGCTGGATACGCCAAATGCTTTTGCCTTAAAGCTACAACTGTATTCTAATGGAACTACTTTATTTTCTTAATAAAAACAAATATATTTCTTCAACAGAGGACTGATCTCTTGAAACAGCAGGAATTGCATCTAAATCCAGTGTTACTGTAAACTGTTACTGTAAATTGAGAGGTCCTATTGTCCTACTTTACAAGGCTGGTGTGTATTCTAAGGACACAGATTGCCTAGGTTTTATTGCTTTGGAAGCAATCAAGGTTACTTTTTAAGGTTCAGGCTTGTCTATGGGGCTTACTACGCACTTCTGAGGCCTAAATGACCTACCTCAGGAAATAAAGGTGGTAGTTTTGCGCCCAGAGGGACTCCCTGACCCACAATCATCCTCTCTTTAGGGAGGGGTGATTGTTACAGTTCTTTCACAGTACTTTTAAAACTTCTGCTTCAGGACCCAGACAGAATGTTTTTCCTGCATTATATTGTAGGGATATTGTCAGTTCAACTCAAACAAGTCCCTGTACGGTGCCCTGATTTTTTTATATTACAAAAGAAAAGCAAATGCTCTGTCTTTTATTTCCTGTCTTTGCTTTAAATCCTATCCAAGAAACACAGTTAGACCAACTGAAGCTAGCTTTAAGGCTACAGTAACCTTTAATTTTAAAAGTTTTAAATAACCTTCACGTTTGTAAGAAAGCTATCCAAAGTGCTTTTATGCTGAACTAAGTTTGTCTTGTACAGTATTATCACTCCCATGGGAAGCACGTTCAAAACATGTAGCAGATCTACTCTGATGAACTGCAAACT